CGACAGAGGAAGAAATTGAACAGTGCGGAAGAATTCCTACTCTGAATGTTGGGGTAATGCAAACTGAAACCATTACCTCTAACACTACTGGGTCTGAAGATCCAAAACCGACTCGGGCTAAACTTTGTTTCACCTCGTAGAATACGAATCCAAGAACTAACTCCGAAACAACTCTGCGATACTGTAAGCTATCTAAACCGAAAAGTTTCAAACGTTCATCATAGCAAGGAATGCTTCGCCTATGGACACCTCTATTCCCTCGGAGAAAAATTAACCTGGTGGCCACATGCTGCACTTTTTCAATTTTCAGAATGTCTTTCTTACGTAGCGGGCTCCACATCCTGCGAGCTGTATTCCAAATGCGGCAGTAGTACACTCCTCATCATTACGGACTGTCGGGGCGTATCAGCCAGTAGGAGTGCGCACACTGTTTGAAGCCGTTCTCAGCCTTTTCGTTGAAACGCGTATGCGACAAAAAGTGGTAGAAAACGAGTAATACGAAGGATATAATGCTGTTATGTCATTTGCTCGCTTCAACAACTGGTGCAGAAAGACTTTGGAACCGCGGAAAACGCAGCCGCACTGACCCGCCCCGACAGTCCGTAATGATGAGGAGTATACTTCAAGCCTTAATAGAATATCAGGTCTACTACTACGGACATTTCGGAAAATACTAAAGAGCGAAGCATAAGCCTTACTAATCACACGATCAACCTGAACAGAAAACTTGAGACTGGAGTCAACGATCACCCCAAATCCGTAACAGTCTCACAACATTTCAGGGGACCCCATTCATTTCATATGACATGGCGGCTCCACCACCAATATGGAGCACACAACACTTATTTAAGTTCACTGCCAAATCAAGACTCGCCGCCCAATGGTTGAGCTTCTCAACAGATTGCTTAAGAGCTGCACAAACATCATCACGGTTTCTGTCATCATAGATACCATACAACTTAACATCGTCCGCATAGACCTGCACTTTAACATTTACTGAGGTATTGACGACCTTGGGCAACTCAATTTGATGGCCGCGCGAGACGCCGTCGACGCGATTGCTGCGCCATCGTGACGCTGACTTGCTGCGCATGATAGAAATCGCCCGGGTCGTTCCATGATATGGCTTTCCAGCGGATTTGAAATCGTTTGTTCACTTTTCTCACAGAAGGATGATTTCGAAATCATTTCGACCTTAACCGTTATCTGTCAACTGCCACTTAAAGGCAAACTACTACCGTCTCAGATTATTCTTACTACCGGGTGAAAACCTTATTGATGACAGAATTTCCTAAGTTGTTCACGGAGTTAGAAAGGACTCAGTACTATTCGCTGCAGTAAATATAATGTCAGTTTGATTATTCAAGTTCTAGTAACAGCAACTTGACACCATTATTAACGAATTTTTAGAACATCTAGACCTTGACTGCTTCCTCTAGACCCCTATAGCCCTTACCGTTTCCATTTGGAAATAGCACAATCATCATGGTTATACATACCAACTGTAGCAAAACAAACATCAAATATTCATGTAAAGTATATTTGTCGTCACTAAAACGGACATAATCCGTGCGATTCTCACAACTAGCTTGGAATAATATCAGCTCCACTTGAATTAGGCAGACTGCATTCGTGAACCGTCAAATTACAAAATGCCTGCAAACTCCTTTGTGCGCATCACTGAAAGTATTTCGAAAAATCTCGTTCAGTTTGCCAGTGTTGGGCAAAAGCGATTTTCAGGGAGACCTCTCGCACACACTTGAACTGGCTGACGCTCTGAAGACAGCGACACTGGGTTTCGTCAGATGGCAAAAGGAGCACGCGAACGCAGAAAAAACAGACTCTTCCCGGTTTTGACAGTATCGACGAGTCGCGTGAGAGATGCCGCTGTTTTTGCTTCGGAACTGTAAGTGCCTTTTGGAAAATGTCGGTGGAAACTGTCCTAGCTCTTCTGCTCACTTGGCATTTCTTTTTCAGTTGTTCTGTGACAAAGATGAGAGCGGAAATAGGATCACCTTACGAAGCAATGTGAGTGTATTTGATTAGAGTAGAAAACTTGGGAGGTATTCGTGATATTCAGAAAATAGAGTCGTCCTTGGCATAATTGCGATACGTGAACGAAAGCACTCCTGCGTCTCGCCATGCGGCCTCATCTTCAACAAAGCTCAAGACTGCGTTCATACTTTGCGGCAGCGTCCACTAGCGTTTCAGGCGTCCGGTGAGAGATTGGAAAGCATAGATATCGGTCTAGTGTTTGCCACCTTTTACGCGCGCTTGGCTGGGGACGTTTAGTGCGACGCTCCGCAAATGTTATGAACGCAGCTCAATGAGAAAAATCGATTTTTCCAGATCAGCCAGCACTGCCCACGTCAATAAGGGGCCGAAAAGTTTCTTTTTGAGTGTGACCATGCTTATGCAGTATGAGTGAGGGCCGTCAGCCATCTACAACTCCAGTTCTTCACTATTCGCAGTCGAGTCTCATACCAATTTGGGAACGAAGGGCTAGCTGGTCTGAGTAGCCCTTGCTAGTCAATGCCCAGAAGCAGCACTCAATGTCATACTCCTGTTACTAGAATGTGCCCTGCAACTTATGTTAGGAGAAAAGCAGTGCCTCTCATTACACTCTTTTCCATGTCTATTTATATGTAAGAATTTCTAAAATCGATCAGATTCTTTCGCGCTTTTTTGCGTTCTTCTTCATTTCACTTACACAACACCTCTGCGTACAGTAGAACCTCCTTGGAAGGCCCGGCCCCCAGAGAGCAGCGCCCCCTTTTCGAGCGTCGGTAGAGACGTGAAACATGATTTACACTTTCGCTTACACATTATACACTACTAGTCGGATCACTCGGCTCACACCTAGCTCTTCTCCTTCTCTTTGCCCCGGTTTTGCCCGGTGCACTTCATAATGGAAACGGAACCTGGTTGGCTGCTCAAGTTGCGCTGGATGACGAAGTATCGTCATTAGATAAAGGAATCCAGCGGATTCTGCACTCTTGAGTACACGCTTGTATTTGCAGGAGGGGTGGTGGTGTCGCCATAACGCCCATAATGTACATGGACCTGTAAATATAAATAGAAGTACAGTGGGACAATTCAGTGCAATATGAATCAATCAGTAGATGAACAAATATCGTTTCCATTACCTGCATCAAAATCCTTACCGCGCTGAGTGAACGCATAGGTTTCCCATTACCATGCAATCCACTCGCTCAAGTCGCATGAATGATTGCAGGTACTAATATTTAGGCCACGTTAGTTGTACATTTCGTCATACTCCTTTATCATCCCTCCCCTCCTCTCCCTCCACATCATTACTTGCGTATAATACATGTAGCTTCCCTGCCGCTGACACTTCTCCAGCACTTCAACCGAACATCAACGGCAACGTTCCTTATCAGCTTATCAATTGTTATTATTTCTGTCACCCACCATCGTCGTCCCCGCCTCTCCC